TGACAACTAATTTCTTACTTATGACTTAGAAGACTTAGAAGACAAATCAATTGTCGTTCTTTTGTAATGTTTCATGGGTTACAGTTTAATTTTTTTCATAAATATGATATTTAAATGTTTTAATGTGTGTATTTTATTATATAGAATTTACTATTATTTGACATATATTAAGTGTTATGTATGAAGTATTAAATGTATATAACTTGTTAGAGAGCAAGTTACTTTTTGAATTCCTTTACAATTATTGCATTGGCTACATTTCCGTTCGGATCACTCAGATGACCCCCCCTCATCATTTTTGCCTAACGCGCCAAAAGAAGTATAACTTCAAAAAAAAAAAAAGAAAAGCCGTTCGGCAGCCAAAACGGAAGTAGATTTCTCAAATAAAAAAAATTAGAAAAACGGTTGACCCTGATGAAGGCCATCCCTGCAACTTCCCGCTAATTCCATACCTAGGCACTTAAAATTTTACTTATGACGTTTTTGAGCTCTTCGAGCTCAAAAATGCAATTTATATGTTATTTGGAGCTCTCCGAGCTTAAAGAAATAGCTTTGTTATGCTTATGCCTATGTCTTATCAACATTCGATGAAACACGATTTTTTTAATTTTCAAACTGCTGTAACTTTTGAATAAATCAATCTATTTTCATGTGGTTGGCTGCGATCAATGTAGTTTTTTTGAGCTCTATAAAAGATTTAGAACAAAAAAATTGATCTGATGAAACATTTCGGAGTTATTACAAAAAAAACACTTTTACGATGCAATTTACCGAATTTCAATAACTTGAAGTGGTAAAAACATCAATTTTTTCATTTTTTCGATTTTCAAAATTTCAAAAGTTAGATTTTTATGAAATCTACTAAAAACAGTGTGAAAAATTTTTTTTATTTTTATTCTTATAATAATTGTTATATTTTGTAAGAAAGAATGGTTGGATTTAATTATACTTGTATAACAAAATGATTTAAATAAAATAATGTCTCAAGAAAATTGACGATTTTTTTATTCTCAAGAGCGCAATGAAAAAACTTTTTTATGATAAAAATTGTGGTATAACAAGTTATTATGTACAGTAGCGCTCAAAAGTATTTTGACAACATTATGCGTTAGTTTTTATCAACAATGTCAAAATACTTTGGTACGACCATTTTCCTAATATTTTAAAATTTAAACTCTCTTTTGTTACGAACAAGGACTACTTTGACACTATTCTGTAGATTATTCAGAAGCTGTTAAAAAAATAAATAAATGATTATTGTGTTTCTTATTTATTTTAATTAATCCATTAAATATATATGTCAAAATAATTTTAAGCGTTACTGTACATACTAACGTTCGTTAGCCTAGGGATAACAAATCATATGCTATGGCATATATGATAAGTTATCATTGATAACAAAAAATAACAGTGAGATGTATTTTTAAAACCATAGTTTTTCATAGCTATTTATAACCATCTAAGATAACCGTTAGTGTTAATTAATTGACCATATTGTCATATTAAAATACTCTAGAGCTAATACCTAATAATTAAGTTTGATTATTAGCAAATGGCGAGATCTACCATCTGTAGCCAGCCATCAACAACTACTTTAGCCCCTAAAAAACTAGATGGGGAAAAAGTACTCTCCCCTAAGATTTAACTTCATTGGAATTTTACAAACTTTTATAATGTAAAATGTTATTCTTATAACAACTAAATTGTTTCGTCGGGGCAAAAAATATTTTTATTGGTTCCACAAAAAAATAATTTATTTCACAAACATAAACTAATTAGTTGAAGTAACAAATTTCGTTTTTGAAGTAGCTAAGCTCAATTATTTTGTTAAAATAACTAATATAGTAACAGCAATAAATTTATTTTGCTATGGTAAAAAATAAATTCTGTTATGAAAACAAAATCAGCTAAGTAGTCATAACGGGAAAAGATTGTAGGAAAAATTGAAATTGTCGCATCGTAATCCAAGATCAGACTTTTAATACAGTCACTTTGATGATTTTACATGTGACAATTATCAAAGTAACAGTATTAAAAGTCTGGTCCTAGATTACGATTCGATATTTTTACTTTTTCATACAATTTTTTTTTCTGTGTACACGGAAAAAAAAAACTGTAGCAACTACAGGCCTAGTATTGTAGCTGCAACAGGAAAAGCCTGTAGCAGCTACAGGCCTAGTTTTGTAGCTGCTTACAATTACTTACATTACTTACAATATATTTTTTAATACTATTGTCTTTTGATACTTTAACCAAATTACTTATTATATATGATCTTAAAATTTTGTTAGATCATATCTCAATGAAGATCCTATTAAAATTTGAACGCTTAATATTGATATTTAAAAAAAAGTCTCTTGCATGATTTTTTAATGAATTAATTATTTCCAAAGTCATTCAAGATATGTCTTGAATTTTCAAATTTTCTGTTATTAGAGGAAAAAGGAAAATAATTATAATTTAAACAAAAATTTTTTGTATATTTGCTCAAATAAAATATCTTTTTTCCAGAAAGTTGTTAGTTTGAAGAATTTTTTTTTTTACGAATAAAAATTTATCTAACTCAAGAATATAAAATTCTCAAAGTGAGTCATGATCGTGAATAATATTGATAATCTCAAATTTTATTACTCGCGATAAGTCAATATTTAAACTACTAGTATTATGCAGCGGTAACAAAAAATCAGTCCTTGACAGACAAAATCAGGAGCAAGTCAATCCCTGACGAAAAAAAAAGAGTAATTACGGAGATAATTATAGTTAGTAAGTATCTATTTTTACTATAAATCCTTAATTATTGTCCATTGATTATCTCTTATAGCTTATCCCCGGGTCAAAAAATTTAGTCTGTTTTATGATTAATAAAATTTTTTAATATTTTTCATTCAATTTAATTTTATTATGTGTATCTATTTTATATGAGAATTTAATCTGTTTTTGCCCGTACTATTCACAATTCAGACCAATTTCAGATCATTTTTAATGTTATAATAAAATTGTTTTCTATTGTTTCAAGACCAAAATCAGACTTTTTTTTTCACAATCATTTAGCTGGTTTTGATCGCATCAAGGTCAAAAACAGACCAAAACGTTCTATAATTTTTAGTCGGTTTTTCATCGCCTGTAGATCAAAAACCGACCTTTTACGAATTTGATAATAATAATAATAATAATATTAATAATAATAATATATAGTGACGATTCACTATTTCGTAGTGCAATGTATACCAAACGGTATTCTTCGCACTACCAAATAGTGAATACCGCTCATTAAATGATGCGTGAAAGTATAAAATTTAACATTTATCTTGTCAACATTTTAATCTTATCTCGATGTATTCACATTGTGTTTAATAACGATAATTAGAAAACTCTAGATTCAGATCCATAATTAAACGATGAGAACTATTTTATAAACGTATATTAATACAAATTTATTAGTAATATTTGCAGTTACAAAACTTTTATAATCCATGAAATATTAAGCTATGATAAATAAATATGACAGATGTAAGGTTATAATCGACGTTCAATTCATAAAACAAGAGAGCGCATGAATATATTATAAATAAATTTATTTTTTCAAATAAATGCGACTTATAATTTTTAACGAGATACTTTTGAGTCAAAAAAATTATAAGTCGCCATCTTAGTCGACTTTTGGCCTTCAAACATTTAGAGTGAAAATTGTAGATCAAAAACAATATAAGATTTCATATTGAATTTGAAAAAAATCCATTAAGTCCATCTGCAAATTATCTAGGCTTAAAAGATATTATTATGATTATGTACTCAAAGATTTGAAAATTTAAAAGTACTTTGAAAAAATAATGACTCATTTTTAATTAATTTCAAGACGTTTTCATCATGAGAAGTTTTGTGGCACTAATTATTGTATCAATTTATGCTGTGGATTTTACAAGCGGTTGTTGGTCCGTAAGTGTTAAAAATAAATTTTTCAAAAATTCTATACCATTTGTTACATCCCTTACAATCAACGCAGATCTAAAAAAAAAATAATTCTTACGAAAAAAGTAATATCCCGTGTGAAAAAAATTGTCCCAAGCGTGGACAGCCAAACATGACAATTGTCCTAAAATTATCCAAAATTGTCCAAAAAATGTTCTCGAATTATTCAAAAAATGTTCCACATACGATTTTAAGGACAAAATTTTAACTAAATTGTTTAAAATAATACGCGTTGATTCTAAAATTATCTTAGCAGTATTTCGAAAATCTTGAAAAAAATACTTAAAATTTACGAAAAAGTTCTTAAAATGCACTATTTGAAAATTTCAGATTATTTATGTGATGTCCCAAAACTGTCCAAAAAATATCGCTCATTGTGTCATGTTTGGATGTCCACGTTTGGGACAATTTTTTTTTTTACAAGGAATTGTTACAAAAATTTTTAATTATTAGATCAATATTGACTAAATTAATTTCTGTTTAAAACCGATAATTAAATGCCATTTTTTCCGCACTACCCATAAGCGCTTAGTTATCGTTCGTCATGCGCAATATTTTCAGCAAGATTAGTAGCACGCGTGTTAGTGAGAGCAAGACTTACGATTCGCTCAAAAAACATCGGTCACAAAAAAAAACTAACGACCAACGCGTTTGAAAAATAATTTTACGCATCAATATTTAACTTTTCGCTATGAAAATCAATGACTTTCAAAAAAATCGAGGTTATTGGTTTCACCCTGGTTTCCGTAAATCGAGTTCTCATTAGATCTCCACGTTATAATGTCCTAGGAATACTATACTAGGTCGGAACCGCGTTAGGATTACTTCAGCCCAGTCCATGCTGCGTCTTACGACGTCCTTTCCTGTTATACTAGTTCCTCTTTGAAATTGTATCCATCAGACGCCGCGTAGGCAGCGGTTTCATTCCAGTCTTTTTCTCTCCGCATCATCTGGTTCAGTGCAGTGTAGACTCGCAGGGTTGAGGGTCTTGTCTATAGTTGCTTCAATGTTGGCTCTGTGATTCCTTCAGCATTCACACTCGAAAAATGTGTGCTCGGTGTCGTCAGTTTTGTTCAAGCAGTACTTGCACATTGAAATGTGGTGTAGGCTCATTTTAAAGAGGTAGGCGTTGAACGAGCCGTGGCCCGTCAACAGCTGATGGATCAGGAAAAAGTCCGTCTCACTATGATTTCGAATGAGTCAGGTTCTGATGTTCAAAATCAGATGAGCTGTCCATCTACTCGTGATGCACGTCTTCCATCTGTCTTTTCATTGCCTCCAGTTTTGAGGTTGTAGAGTTTTGCCCTTTATAATGCTAGAAAGTTGGTAGGTGTAGCCCCTACTATGACCATTATAGCTGCTTCAGAGACCATGCGGTAGGGACAGGTCACCCTCAAGGCCCCTCGTCGTTATACTGCCGCTATTTTGTGCTCGAAAAAGTATAAAATATGTATTTTTGAGCTCGACATCACAATAGATATTTTTTTGAGCGTTTTGAATCGGTACATAGCGGGAAGTTCCAAGAATGGCCTGCAGGGGGAGATTATTAATACTAAATCCTAGGATTATTAAAACTTAAAATTAATTAACACCCAAATTTATAGCGACCAACTGCCGCTTTACCTCCAGAATTTTTTCTCATTGACTATAAGACTCCAGTTTATTTTTATGGAAGAGGTAGTAATCATAAAAGAACCCTGGCATCGATACATGTAAGTAAAAATGCACAAAATTGAATAAATTAATTGGGAATTTATTGAAAGTTATCTTTAGGAAGAGACACATATTAAACACATGAAATTCAATAAGAATAACAGAGACATCAAACCATGTAAGTTTTTAGTTTATGAAAAGGTATATTGATTAATGGAGCTGTTGCTAAAATTAATTAATTAATTATTTTTCGATAAAATTTGACAGTGCTAACATAAATGATGCTATTTATAGATATGATATTCTTGAGAACAATAGTTGTTGTTGATTATTCCATGTATCAAAGACTAAACCTTCAAGTTCTTGATCACGTCATGGCAAGTATGTATTACACAGAAAATCAGGCTAATAAGGTATATGAATATCCACAGTTAAAATTTGTTGTCACTGCTATAGTCATTCCAACGGTAAGATTACTTGTTAATAAGTTTTTTTCATTTATGAATTTTCTAATACATAAAAAAAGGGCTCATTCTGATTTTGGCGCTTGAAAAAACCAAATTTATGATTTTTTTATGTAGGAACTATTTTAGAAATTAATACATAATTTATTCAGCCTAACAAATACACTTGAATAATACAAAAAATATCGGAATTTATTTTTTTTTTTTTTATATTTTCTATATAAATAAACAACGGGTAAACGGTACTCCTCCAAAAGTTAGTATGTCGGTGACATACATGATAACTTGATAACGGCTTATCTGAAACATAAAAACCATAATTATTTATGGTCAATATATAAATAGTTAATGGAATAAAATACTATTTCAAGCAGTAATATTCGCTATGTGAATGTCGAAAATGTTAAAGTATAATAATTAATAATTTTGACTTTGATAGTTATCATTTTGTACTGTTTGAAACTATAAAAATTTACTGGAATCCGAGTGAATTTTACAGTTTACTTTTTTCCGTGTAGTCTTAAAAAAACAGTGAAAATCAAAATTTTAATTTGGTTGTATCTGATGCAATAGCTACCACTATAGTTCCGGAGATGCTATGTACGTTAACTATGAAAACATAGTTCTGAAATAAACGCGTTTGAAGTTTTTTAATTTAAGAAAAAAAAAAAATCTTACCTGGTCTATCATACAAGATCTTTTTAGCCTTTTCAAAAATTTTATCTTCTTCCACTCGACATCCACATAAACATCGTAAAATAATATAATTACAGTGGTCTGATCACTTAGGAATTCTAACACAATAGTTTTAGATATATGTACTGTCGAATAATATAAAAAAAAAAAATTTTTTTCTGAAAATTACCAACCAGAATGACCCCTAGAAAAAAAAAAAATATTGTCTTCAAAAATTATGTAGCATAACATAAAACATATATTCTAATAAAATAATGAATTTTCATACTTTTCTATGTGCGTATGACACATCAGGACAACGTGGTGCTATCATCTTTCAAACCCGATTCTAAGAGTTATTTAAATACGTCGCCGAGATTATTTAACGAAATGAGACAATTCTTATTAGGCTTAAAGAAATATAAAACTGGCATGAAGTACGATTTCGCTATCTTTATTTCGTCAGCGTAAGTTATTCTTTATATCATCTTATTTTTAGTGCAAAAATACATACTTAACTTTTTATACTCAGGAAATCTGTTTATAATGAAGATATTAATCAACTTCGAAAAGTGACTTCAAATGGATACCCCAGTTGTTTAGATGATTCATCACCACCAAAAATTCAGTCAGTTATTACTGTCGTTGATGAAGTCCCTAACAGTGATTATTCTCCAGTTTACGGAGAAATTGTAAAGCTGTGAGTGTACTTCCTACCAACATATATTTGGTTGTATTTTAAGTTTTAAAAAAGTTGTGATAAACATTTAAAATTTTTTTATTTTTAGAATCGAATATTTATCAAACCATTTTATGTGTAGTAAAAATTTTATTAAATACAATGAAGAATTCGTTCCTGACGCAGCATACGACGCTTGTACTAATACGAATTTAAAAAACGGATTCAGGTACTTATTAAACATATTTTAACAGTACCTATATGGTACATCATATCAGTAGAATCACGTGGGGTAACTGTGCGCAGCGGGTAAGTTTGCGCAACCCCTTTATTTATGAATGGGGAGGGGGAAGTTTGTGATATATGTAGACTAATTGAAGGTTTGTTGGTAGAAAAATTATTCTGCTTAGGGCATTAAAAATCCACGAACTTCCCTTAGTTGCGCAAATTTACCCCACACAAGTGCGCACACTTACCTGCAGTACGCAGTAAATATGCGCATTTTGAATCATTCGAATTAATCCTTTTTTTTTTTTTTTCCGGTGTTAAGGTTTTAGACTCTATTTATTAATTTAATTATTATCTACATAAATACTTTATCAGAGAAATGTTTTTATTTTCCTTTCATGCTTATCGTTTAATTTTGATCCTAGTTTGAATGCTCAAATGCGCACACTTGCCCCACATGACTCTATATTAGCAAGTAAGATGTGATGATGATTTTTTAAATGTTTTTTCAACAGTGCGGGTTTTCCTGAATGTTACTACGATATGCCCGAATTTCTCAAAAATTAATTTGGAATTCATTTATATCAATTATGATTTCAAAAAATAAATTGCAATGTTGCTGATCATTTACAAAATTATGGAAAAATTTTATTGAATTTTAAAATAAATAAACTAAAAAAATTATTATAATTTGTTGTTAAAGACTATAAAATTGAAATAAGCCTCAATTTCACAAAAAAAAAATATTTATCTTGGCCTATAACTGTTGTCAAATCGATTTCACATCCGACATTCTCATTTTTCTTATGAAAAATATGTGCATTATTAAGGATACATTTTCATCGTAGCACTAGATTTTTCCCAGCTAACTTTTTCCAATTTCCCAGTTATTTACACAATAATCAATAAGTAATCCAAGAACACGAGTACATGATCACGGTAGTCAGACTGCAGAATTTAATGAATTTTCATACCGAGTTTTGCAGCGCTAGATGGGAATAATAAAAAAAAAATTACAAAAAGTCTCTAACATTCACTCAACCGTACCAATGACTTCATTGTTGTTTCTTTTTCTAAGTGGACCCCCTGCTATTAAACTAAAAAAAAGTAAAAAAGAATTCTAATATCTTTAATTTTTTTACTCGCAAATATGTATATGAGAAAGCAATAAAAAAAACTGAATATCCGGAAATTGAGTGAAATTTTAGAGAATTTGATTAAATTTAAGTGTCAATATGTCACGAAATTTCGAAATTTTAGGTAATTTCTGGACATTTCTTGAAATTATCTGATATATATCAAAGTTTTACTTTAGTCCTCAATAATTAATGAAATTGCACGACTCGAAGAGCTCAAAATAAAACCAAAATTATATTTTTGAGCTTGAAAAGCTCAAAAACACAATAAGTGAAATGTTGAGCGCTTAGGTATGGAGTTAGCGAGAAGTTGCAGGGATGGCCTTTAGGTTCAACCGATTTCCTATTTTTTTTTTTTTATATTTCATTATTTTTTGAAAAAAACATAATTTTTTTTTATTGGTAACAAATTTTGGACGTGTACTTGGAAAAGCATGTAATAGTGATACCTTTTACTGATCAAAATTCTGTAGATAATATTTATTTAGCGCGAAAATTAAAATATTTATTTAGATAAACAGTGCTCTAAGACAATTTTTTTTTCCACAAAAAATTAAATGGTTCGTACTCTTTTGGATTTTTAAAACTTTTTTAATATATTCTAGTAGAGTTAAACTTTTACTTGACCAGAAATATACTTCAAACTATGTAATTAGATATGAGTAAATATAAATACCAACTAATTCCAAAGCATCGGAGTAAATTCAGCAAAGAGTTTAGTGTTAACCGCAAGTCTGACAGATGAAACTCTGTTGAATTTAGGTTGAGAATCAAGTAGTATAGAGCCGACTCCGTTCAAGCAATCACTTGCGAGAAATCCCTAGCTCCAACCCTCCAACAGTTATTTACCTCTAAATGTGTGTAAGAACTTTCTTAACGTTCTCAATTTCAAAGGATTCTGCACAAGAACTTTTGATGAAGCCCCGATCTCTAAACAAACATTTGAACTGCTCTGTTAAACTTTTAATTCTATCAGTTACTATTTTAGGTTTTTACGAAGCCCTAAACTGATAAAAAAGTTAACTTCATTCAAGAAAAAAAATCTTGAATCAAGTATACCGTTTTGAAGAAAATTATTTTCTTGAGTCAAGAGAAAAAATTCTTGAGACAAGAAAAATTTCTTATTGATGCACGAAACTTATTTTCTTCGAAATGGTATTCTTGGATCAAGATTTTTCCTCTTGAGTTAAGTTGTTTTTTTATCTGTGTACTAAAGAATTTCTATTGGTTTTATTTCAAATTTAAACTACATTATTCAATTAATTTTATCGTCATTTCTTTCACAATTTTATTGGAATTTATACCTTTTAGTGGTACTGCGATAGTTACTTATAATTTAAATTGATGTTTTTCGAATCAAGATATCATATCGAGTTCTATTTATTGAAGCTGTCGTTGAGCGCCGTCATTTTCGCGACAGCCAATTTTCCAGGTATATTTCCAGATATAGAGTGACACCTCTATCAAATATAAATGCTAAGAAAAATTTGTATACCTCCATTTATTAATACATATTTTCAAGATATAATAATCATAAAATTTTTATGATTATAAAATATTAATTATAACGTTCAAGTAAATAAAAAACTATTTTCTTACCGTTAAAAAAGTATTTTTCTGAAGCGCAAGTGTTGTGGAAAAAGTTAAAGAAATAGTGACGTATTCTTTTTTTTTTCAAACATTTCTCGGCTGGTCACTGAGAAAAATAAAACCCATGCACTAATAGTATATTGTGCAACTAGTGCGACACATCATTCGAACGAGTGGGTAATCGACAACGTTGCACTAGTTGCACATATGCTATTAACTTCCCGCTAAGAAAATTGAAAATTTTCGAAAATCGAGTTTTCATCAGATCTCGACGTTTTAAAGTCCTAGGAAGCTTCCCTGACTATTCCCGCGATGGTGTCTGTATGTATGTATGTGTGTGTGTATGTAAACCTCTCATAACTTTTGAACGGCTTGACCGATTTGATCGCGGTTGGTGCCATTCGAAAGGGTTTGACTAAACTTAGATGTTGAATACAAGTTGGACCGATTCGGACCGATAAATTTTAAGAAATCTTAAAAAAACTGCGAAAAAAAATTTTTTCAAATGTGGTTTTTTTCGAATAAATTTCAAACGGCTTGACCGATCAATTCCAAAAACTAATCAGCTCTTAAGATCGAAAAATCACGTCGATCGCCACCAAACCGGTCAAAATCGGTTGATTCGTTTGTGAGTTATCGTTGACGAAAGAAATCAGAAAGTGTTTTTTTCGAATTACACCGAAATTTCCGGTCTGATCAATTTGGGTTTGAAAATATATTATAGAATTTGAAAAACTGCGTCGAATGCCGCCAACCGCGTAAAAATCGGTACATTCATTCAAAAGTTATTGCGGTTTGAAAATTCAAAAAATAGTGTTTTATTAAACTTCTATCAGACTTTTGAGCTCAGAGAGCTCAAAACTATATGAAAATTATATTTTGAAGAGCTCAAAAACGTAATAAGTGCAATTTTGAGCGCTTAATTACGAAAGTAGTGTTCACAGTCAATTGCGTGCGACAAGGATAGTTTGAGTGTGCCAAGAGTAATTCGCGTGCGACAAGTGAACTTGTCGCACTCAAATAACAGTTTCATTTATGAAAACACTCAGGCGTAATTTTAAAATGGGCAAACAGCTCTTCTTCAACCGCAACAGCGAGCGCCAAGATACTATTTTCCAAGGTACTACTTTTTCCGCATGAGTAATAAAAAAAAAAAAACCAGCTCAATAATATATCGTCAATAAGCGTCCGGAGTCTCGAGTTTATTTTACACAGACGCAAACAAACAAAAGACCAAAAAATTTTTGTTTTTGCACGCCTCATAGCGTGAAGCGATTGAGGTAATGCTTTTTACTCCCGACACGTCAAGGTCAAAAGGAATTTTGTGGCCTTCAAATGCCTTTATCACAACCATACTGCACTTGTACAATAATATGAGTAGACGTACATCAAAAAAACATCTTAATTAATCTATATTATAGTTTGTGAAATCATTTTATGGTGCTACTTTGAAAAAAAAAACGTTTTGAAAAAAATTTTACGTGGACGTCCGGATGTCTGAACGCTGATTTTGTATGTATTCACGATAACTCCCGAAAAAATTGATGTATTCGAGACCGGGATTTTTTTATTAGTTCCAGAATTCGATTAACTGATACCGCATTTCATATCAATAGCCTGGTTTACGTAGTTTTTTTTTTTTATGAATTTTTATTAAAATTCACTATGATACACACGTACAAAAACAAAATATCTTCTCTCACGTGAAAACGATGGTGTTACTTATTCAAGTTCAAATGAGATCAAACAATTTTATTACTAGATTTTTAACTTCCCACTAAAAATCTCAGATTTTCAAAAATCGGGAAGTTATTGTTTTCACCCCGTTTTACAAAAATCGAGTTTTCATCAGATCTCGATTACATTTGAAGGTCACAGGAAGCTTCCCTGACTATCCCCGCGAGGTTGTCACGGTGTCTGTATGTATGTGTGTGTGAAAGTATGTGAACCGCTTATAACTTTTAAACGGCTTGACCGATTTGATCGCGGTTGGTGCCATTCGAAAGGGCTTGACCAAACTTAGATTTCCTGAGAATTTGAACCGATTCGGACCAGTAAATTTTGAGAAATTGCAACAAAACTACAAAAAAAATTTTTTTGAAAAGTGGTTTTTTTGGAATAACTTTTAAACGGCTTCACCGATCAATTCCAAAAACTAATCAGCTCTTAACATCAAAAAACCGCGTCGATCGCCGCCAGTCCGGTCAAAATCGGTTGATTCGTTCGTGAGTTATCGTGAACGAAAGAAAACCGAAAAAAGTGTTTTTTTCGGAATTACTCTGAAATTTTCGGTTCGATCAATTAAAACCTGAAAATAACTTATGAGGATGATAAAACTGCGTCGAATGCCGCCAATCACGTGAAAATCGGTTGATCCATTCAAAAGTTATTGCGATTTGAAAATTAAAGAAATAGTGTTTTATCAAACTCCTATCAAACTTTTGAGCTCAAAAGCATACAAAAGCTATTTTTTTGAGCTCGGAGAGCTCAAAATAATACACAAATTGTATTTATGAGCTCGAAGAGCTCTAAAACGTCATAAGTGCAATTTCAAGCGTTTAGGTATAGAATTGGCGGGAAGTTGCAGGGATGGCCTTTAAGGTGAACCGTTTTTCTAATTTTTTTAGACTGTACGCACATGTGACACAAAAAAAGGACGCCAATAGTTTAAAAAAATTTTAAAATACTCTCTAAGAAATGACTTAATTATTACTTTTTCTCTTAAAAATCAATTTTGTTTGATTTTGAGTCGATTCGAGTGAATTTGAGCCGATTCGGACCGATAGATTTTGAGAAATTTTGAGAAATCTCAAAAAAACTAAGAAAAAAATCTTTTTGAAATGTGGTTTTTTTGCAATAACTTTTAAACGGTTTTATCGATCAACTCTAAAAACTAATCAGCTATCAACCTCAAATAACCACGTCGATCGCTGCTTATCCGGTCAAAATCGGTTGATTCGTTCGAGAGATATCGTGAACGAAAAAAAACCGAAAAAAGTGTTTTATCGAAATCACTCCGAAATTCCTAGTTCGATCAATTTAAACTTGAAGATTCTTTGTGATACTTAAAAAACTGCGTCGAATGCCGCCAACTGGGTGAAAATCGGTTATTCATTCAAAATTTATTGCGGTTTGAAAATTCAAAAAATAGTGTTTTATCAAACTTCTATCAGACATTTAAACTCGAAGAGCTCAAAAACGTCATAAGTGCAATTTTAAGTGCCTAGGTATGGAATTAGCGGGAAGATGCAGCGATGGGCTTCAGGCCAGATGAGGGTCAACCGTTTTCCTAATTTTTTTCTTAAAAAACAAATGAGCCTTATTGAGCGTGCACTTTTGGAATTTTTTAAAGTTATTCATTGATTATCATTAAATATTACTGAATTAGACAGTCATTTTCAGTAGGCTTCCACTCAAGGTCATTTTGAAGCTAATAAAAAATAAAAAACGATTTCAATGTATCAAATTTTTTAGCAACTCGAGTAGTGAAAAATTGCCTGAT